GCTTGTCGACTTTGCTGCACGCTGTCGTCTAGACTACGCTGCTTGTCTTGTCACTGAGTCTGAGTCCGCCTGTCCTCCGTCCGTCGGGGGTGAGTGTGCCCTTGGCACGGACGTCCTTGAGGACAGGCAGGAGGAGTTCCAGTGTCTGGCCGCCGCTTCACCTCGTCTCGCGTCTGTACTGCTAGCCCCTGAGGGAGACCCGGATGCACCAGACATCCCGACTCTGCGCTCTTACGCGGAGGCGATAGAGGGTCCCTACTCCTCTCAGTGGCAGGCAGCTATGGATGCAGAGATGGCTTCCTGGAAGTCCACAGGCACCTACGTTGACGCTGTTCCCCCTCCTGGGGCGAACATTGTCAGTGGCATGTGGATTTTCAGGGTGAAGCGGCCGCCGGGTTCTCCGCCTGTCTTCAAGGCGCGTTACGTGGCTCGTGGCTTCAGTCAGCGGCAGGGGGTTGACTACTTTCAGACCTTCTCCCCCACCCCGAAGATGACCACTCTTCGGGTTCTGCTGCACGTTGCTGCTCACCGTGACTACGAGCTGCACTCTCTCGACTTCAGCACAGCTTTCTTGCAGGGCAGCCTGCACGAGGAGATCTGGCTGCGTCGCCCACCTGGCTTCACTGGGTCTTTCCCTCATGGTACCCAGTGGAGTCTCCGGCGTCCAGTCTACGGTCTCCGCCAGGCGCCACGTGAGTGGCACGACACACTGAGGACTACGCTCGCGGCACTTGGGTTTGCTCCTTCTACTGCCGACCCGTCGCTGTTTCTGCGCACCGACACCTCTCTGCCGCCGTTCTACATCCTCCTGTACGTCGACGACTTGGTCTTTGCCACAGCTGACACTGCTGGACTCGCCTACGTGAAGTCCGAGCTGCAGAAGAGACACACGTGCACTGACCTGGGTGAACTGCGCAGCTACCTTGGCTTGCAGATCACCCGGGACAGAGCACGCCGCACCATTACCCTGACTCAGTCACACATGGTGCAGCAGGTCCTTCAGCGCTTCGGCTTCACGTACTCCTCGCCTCAGGCCACTCCTCTGCCTACTCGCCACTCGCTCTCAGCTCTGCCTTCGGATGAGTCCGTAGAGTCGAGTGGCCCGTTTGCAGAGCTTGTTGGCTGCCTCATGTACCTGATGACCTGCACACGACCTGACCTCACATACCCTCTTAGCATTCTCGCACGCTTTGTTGCTCCTGGGAGACACCGACCAGAGCACATGGCTGCAGCGAAGAGGGTGTTGCGCTACTTGTGCAGTACGTCGGGCATGGGGCTAGTGCTTGGAGGGCGCAGTCCAGTGGTCCTCACTGGGCACGCAGACGCTTCTTGGGCTGACGACCAGGCTACGCAGCGGTCGTCACAGGGTTACACCTTCAGCCTTGGTTCCGGCTCTGTCTCGTGGCGGGCTACCCGCTCGTCTTCTGTTCTCGGCTCCAGTTGTGAGGCTGAGATCTACGCTGGGGCTATGGCTGCACAGGAGTTACGCTGGCTCACCTACCTGCTGACCGACCTTGGAGAGCAGCCTCGTTCTCCTCCAGTCCTGTACGTAGACAACAAGGCCATGCTGGCCTTGTGTCGAGAGCAGCGACTGGAGCACAGAACGAAGCACATTGCTCTCCGCTACTTTCTTGCTCGTGAGCTACAGCAGCGTGGACAGTTGTGACTTGCGTACGTGGCCTCTGAGGCCAACACTGCTGATGTCTTCACCAAGGCACTTGCGCCTTGTGATCATCAGCGTTGTTGCACGCAGTTGGGTCTTGTGCCTGTCTTGCCTCACTTGCTCTCCTCTTGACCTTGCTTGTACCTTCGCCTATATATACTCTTGCTTTTGCTTGCTTGACTCTTGTATATCTCTATATATGATCTTGCATGTGAACTGGCCTTCTGGCCTTTGAACTTGTGCTCGGAATGCGTGGTGACTTTGTGATCCACCCTGAGCTTTGCTTTGCTTTGCTTTGCTTGACTGGTCTTGTGACCCCTTGTTCTCCCCCAATTTGCCTATGGGGGTGTGTCAGAACATATAGCTTACTTGTTTCTGTAGGCTATAGTGGGGTATCCCATAGGGGGTACAACACAATTAGGGTTTCCTATTTGTATTCACTTCAATTCATAGTCATCCATTCTCGTTTCACACTTTCTCATTCATTTCTATCATTTCTATCAGCTCTGGGTACGGGCCACTCGGCTCTACGGACTCATCCGAAGGCAGAGCTGAGAGCGAGTGGCGAGTAGACAGAGGAGTGGCCTGAGGCGAGGAGTACGTGAAGTCGAAGCGCCGAAGGACCTGCTGCACCATGTGTGACTGAGTCAGGGTAATGGTGCACTATGCTCTGTCCCGGGTGATCTGCAAGCCAAGGTAGCTGCGCGGTTCACCCAGGTCTGTGCACGTGTGTCTCTTCTGCAGCTCCGACTTCACGTGGGCGAGTCCAGCAGTATCAGCAGAGGCAAAGACCAAGTCGTCGACGTACACGAGGATGTAGAACTGCAGCAAAGAGGTGTTGGCGCGTAGCAACAGCGACGGGTCGGCAGTAGACGGAGCAAACCCAAGAGCCGCAAGTGTAGTCCTCAGTGTGTTGTGCCACTCACGGGGCGCCTGGCGGAGACCATAGACTGGCCGCCGGAGGCTCCGCTGGGTACCAAGAGGAAACGACCCAGTGAAGCCAGGTGGGCGGCGCAGCCAGATCTCCTCGTGGAGGCTGCCCTGCAGGAAAGCTGTGCTGAAGTCAAGAGAGTGAAGCTCGTAGTCGCGCTGAGCGGCTATGTGCAGCAGCACCCGAAGAGTGGTCATCTTCGGGGTGGGAGAGAAGGTCTGAAAGTAGTCAACTCCCTGCCGCTGACTGAAGCCTCGAGCCACGCAACGCGCCTTGAAGACAGGCGGAGAACCCGGCGGCCGCTTCACCCTGAAAATCCACATGCCGCTGACGATGTTCGCCCCAGGTGGGGGAACCTCGTCGACGTAGGTGCCTGTGGACTTCGAGGAAGCCATCTCTGCGTCCATGGCTGATTGCCACTGAGAGGAGTAGGGACCCTCGATCGCCTCAGCGTACGATCGAGGAGTCGGGATGTCTGGTGCATCCGGGTCTCCCTCAGGGGCAATCAGCGTGGAGACGAGATGAGGCAAAGCAGCAGCAAAACACGGGAACTCCTCCTGCCTGTCCTCAAGGACGTCCGTGCTAAGAGAACACTCACCCCCGACGGACGGAGGACAGATAGACTCAGACTCAGCGACAAGACCAGCAGCATAGTCTAGACCACAGCGAGCAGCAAAGTCGACAAGCTCAGCAACTAAGGCAGACGCAGCAATGGACTCAAAGGAAGGGTCAGGGACAACAGTAGCCAGGAGACGCGTGACAGTAGGACTGGCAGCACGACGAGAGTCAGACTCCGGGTCAGTAAGGACAGGAAAAGAGGACTCTGGAGGAGACGGCAACGGGACACGCAGAGGAGCAGTGGAAGGACGCAGTGCCATCTGGTGTGTGCCTGGGACCGCAGGAGGACGCGAACACGGAGCACGACTACTAGTGCGAGCAGCACGAACAGGCGATGAAGGACGAGACGCAGGCTCACGATGCTCAGCAAGACCTCCATTAGGACCAGTGTAGGGAGAAGGAGCAGGTAGGGGGGAGGCGGGCTGTAACTGTGACCGCGATTGGACAGGCTGTGGACACTCTAAGGGAGGAGCAGGACCAGTAGAGGGCGGGAGACCAAGAACCTGCTCAAGGAGCGGAACAAAGTACGGCCGCGGCCGCGCAGCACCTCCAGAACCAGCAGGGACAGTACCAGTACCCCCAGCGGCAGCACCAGCGCCAGCAGCACCGCCAGCGCCAACACACCTAGCAGCTCCTGTTCCAGCAACTCCAGCTCCAGCAGCACCAACTCCACCAGGACCGTTAGCAGCACCCCCAGGCCCAGCAGCTCCAGTACCGCCAGTACGAGCACCTCCAGGACCAGTGGCTCTAGTAACTTCAGTGCCGACCCCAAGGTCAGCAGTAACAGCAGCACCTCCAGCTCTAGCAGCACGGCTCCAGTGCCAAGCAAACCACTCGCGCAGCTCCTGTGGAGAGGGTAGCTCCCGCCTCGACGAAGCACCCGAAGGGGCCCCAAACCCAGCACCGCCAGAGGCCACACGAGCAGACCCAGCACCCCCAGGCTCCGCACCACCAGGCTAAGCACCCGTAGGCTCCGTACCCCTAGGCTCCACACCCCCAGACTCAACACCCCCAGGCTCTGCACCCCCAGACTCAGCACCACCAGGCTCAGCACCCCTAGCAGTACGAGAGTCAACAGGTACCTCGACAGGCTCGACTGCGTCTACCTGGGACACACCTGACGGGGCAGGACCCTGAGGGGGGAGGGGGTCTACCGGGGGGGAACCTGGCGCAAGGAAGAGCAGCGGCGGGGGGAGGGGTGCAGTGCGGTAGGGGAAGAGACGGTAGTAAGGAACCGACTCGTCAAACGTGACATCCTGGGAGGACAGAACACGGCGCGAGGTGGGGTGGTAAAACTGCCAACCAGGCGCGTCACTGGGGAAGCCAAGGAAGACGCAGGAAATTGCACGGGGGGACAGCTTGTCCGCAGACAAGTCGCGGACAAACGCTCGAGATCCCCAGACACGAAACGCAGACGCATCGCCAACCTTCCCCGTCCACCGCAAGGTGGGGAGGTCTCACAGAGTGGCCCTGGCCATGGACGCGGGCGGGGCCCCGCACGTCCATGTGAAGAGTCTGCAGGGGAGCCTCTGTCGGAGGAAACTCGGAGGAGTGAGGGGCGGCGCGCTGCCGCCCCTCGACGCAGGGAACGTAGGTAGGGGCAGGCCCCGGAGGGAGGGGAGGGAGGGACCGGGGGAGACTAGAGAAAAGGAGACGGTAGGCCATGCCTCGGAGACGAGGCAGGGAGGGGTGACCAAGGCGGTGGCGCCAAAGGAGAGTCTGGTGGGACAGGAGACGACACGAGCAGGGAGCAGACTCAGGACCAGACCTGGACGCTGCAGCAAACACCTAACTCGACGCAGCTACCTGACCAGACCCAGCAACCGGAGGAGACTCAGTAGTTAGTGTATACAGGCTCGACCCCGGCTGACAGGTAGACGTGGCCAAGTGGCGGCCCGTCTGAGCACACGTACAGTGGGTCACCCGCTGACTCGCAGGAGTGAACTTGTCAACCCCCCCATCCTGTAGGTCAGCACCACTCACCAAGTTCGTAGAGAACGAGGGGAGGTAGAGACTTGACAGGGTGCCAGAGGGGGCTGCTGGACACGGTAAGACAGTGGAGAAGTGAGCAAGGACAGGATCCCCCGAGGGGTCCGCCAGGGAGACCGCAACCGGCCGACTAAGCGGCGTAAGCATGGTGCGGTCTCAAAAGAGGAGCGGGAAGCACCCGAGTAAAGGGTGAAGGTGTGTAAGGCCTGAGCCGACGTGGTACCTGAGAGAGCAGACTCACCAGCACCTGGGGCAGCAGACGAACTAGCACCTAGAGCAGCAGCCTCACCAGCACCTAGAGCAGCAGCCTCAATGCCCGGGTCAGGCGGAACACACAGGTAATAGTCACCCTCATCACTAGTAGACACAGCATACATGGCAGCAAGAATAACATCATAATGAAGATCAAAGATCGCAAACCCCGACCTCTGCAGCTCTGCCCAGCGAGGGATCTCAGTGGCGTCAGGGAACTGGAGACGCTAGGCATCTGTCAGGCGGCCGAAGCAGCGCTGGGTGGGGTGCGGGCCTCCGCACTACTCACCCGTACGGTCGCCGGTACGCATGACGTAGGTACAGGGACCAGTACCCCCTCCCCGCTGACGCGAAGCGTACCACTCACGAAGCTGCTGGGGGGGCGGGGTCTCACGAGTGCGCTGCTGCTGCTGGCGCTGACCACCACCAAAGCCGCCCCGTTGCGCAGAGCCACCCCGACTAGCTCCACTTCCTCCGCCGCCACCTCCGCCACCGCCGCCACCGCTTCCTCCTCCGCTCCCACCGCCACCGCCGCCGCCGCCTCCGCCGCCACCGCCGCCACCGAAGCCCCCATCCCCGCCACCACTCCCACCACCACCCCCACTCCCTCCGCCTCCTCCACCGCCACCTCCACCGCCCCCGCCAGCCCCTCCAGCGCCCTTGCCCCCCTTGCCCTTGCCGGTGCGGCGTCGCCCGCTAGGGGCAGACGCAGCGCCGACCGACTCGGTGCCAACGAAGTCAATGGCAGCAGCAGAGGCAACAGAAGGCAAAAGGGGGGAGGGGGAGCACCCCTCAAAGACAGGGGCACGAGGGTCACCTCGAGAGGCTCCTACAGCGACTATACTCTTTTCAGGTGCCAGGAGGCGCTCCTCGAGGAGGTCAACGGTGAGTGTTGTGGGGCAAACAGAGAGCGAAGGGAGTCAAGGAGCCGGGTGACTATGTAGTAGAGGGTGATGTACATGGGGGGGGGGGGGGGGGGTTCTTGGCGCAGAACTCAGCAGGAAGCGCAGCGCGGTAGCGGGTGTCACTAGTGCGAAGGTGCGTAACGAGGTCAGCGAAAGTGGGAAAGGCGGCAAGGTCAGGAAACAGGTACGGCATCATGAGGCGGCTAAGGGCAGCAGTGGCAGGGGAAGAGTAGCGTGCAACTACAGCGTCGTACAAGGTCTTAGCACTCTTGTACTGACTTAAGTGCGCACGCTTTGCGGTCGGTAAGTGGGGACGCACAGCAAGACGGGCAGCAGCATCGCGTGTGGCCCACTGTGAGCGAACAGTGCTGTCAGCATCAGCAGGCGGGGCAGGAGAGGCAGAAGAGGTGAGATCGAACAGGGAGAGTCCGTCTGCCCTATCGCACTATAGGAAGAGCTGTAGGTCATCGACCCAGACCTCGAAGTCAACAGCACGACCCTCAGCATCAAAGGTAAGGACACTTGGGGTAGCCATGACAGCAGTGGTCTAGCAGGGAGTGCTCTCACCAGTCCGGGTGGGTAGGGCCGGGGCTCGTCGGTAGGAACAGGGCTGCTACTGCGGTGGCAGCGGCTCAGCAGTGGCAGTAGCGGCTCGACAGCAGCGGCTCGACAGCAGCGGCTTGGTAGTGGCGGCTCGACAACGGCCTTGGCGGCTTGGCTGCTTGGCGGCTCGGCGGCTCGGCGGTTCGACGGTGAAGGGGCCGGGGAGGGGCCGGGGAGGGGCCAAAAGGGGCGGCGAAGGGGCCGCAAGGGGCGGCGACGGGGCCGCTAAGGGCGGCGACGAGGTCGCAAGGGGGCGGCAATGAGGCCGCGAGAGGGCGGCGACGCGGCCGCGAGAGGGCGGCACTGGGGCCGCGAGAGGGCGGCGACGAGGCCGCGAGGAGCGGCTGCAGGGCCGCGACGGGCGGGGATGCGGCCGCTAAGGGCGGCGGCGGGGCCACGAACGGCGGCGACAGGGCCGCGAGAGGGCGGCGACGGGGCCGTGGAGGTGGGGCCGCAAGAGGCCGCTGAGGGCGGCGCGACGGGTCGCTCAGGGCAGCGCGACGGGCCGCTAGGGGGCGGCGACGGTGTCGCGAGGGGCCGTGAGAGGGGTGGGGGGGGGGGGGGGGGGGGGGGGGGCTAAGGGCGGCGCAACGGGTCGCTAAGGGGAGGGCGGCACACAGGGCGCGCCTCAGCCAGGGGCGACTCGATCTCAGGGCAGGAAAAAGAAAGAAAACTCGATTTTCAGTGGTGGGCCCTAGGAAAAGTTCCCACTAGGGAACCTGCTCTATACCATGTGAAGAACTGAGGAATGAATGAACTAGCAAGCAGGTGGGTACAAGTAGGAAAACCTAAAAGTGTTGTACCCCATATTGTCTACCCCACTACAGCCTACACAGACTAAAGCATATGAGTTTGACACGCCCTACTCCCTTCCCGTCGCCTGATTCACGTTCCCGCCGGCCGGTTCCCCTATCCTGCCGCCCGAATCCCCTTCCGCGCCGCCTGAATCCCCTTTCCCGCCCATTGATTCCGGGCGGGCAGCCCGACCGCCCCTTCCCGCCGCCCGATTCCCCTTTCGCGCCGCCAAATTCGCGTTCCCGCCGCCCGCTTCGCCAATCCCGCCGCCTGATGCACCCTCCCACCGCCCGATTCCCTTTTCCCGCCGCCAGACATGCCTTCCCGCCTCCCTAATTCCTTTTCCGTCACCCGACTACCCTTCCCTCCCGTCTCTCCCTTCTCCCCCTACCCAGTGGAGCCTCCGACGGCCAGTCTACGGTCTCCGCCAGGCACCGCGTGAGTGGCACGACACACTGAGGACTACGCTTGCGGCTCTTGGGTTTGCTCCTTCTACTGCTGACCCGTCGCTGTTTCTGCGCACCGACACTTCACTGCCGCCGTTCTACATCCTCGTGTACGTCGACGACTTGGTCTTTGCCACAGCGGACACTGCTGGACTCGCCTACGTGAAGTCCGAACTGCTAAAGAGACACACGTGCACAGACCTGGGTGAACTGCGCAGCTACCTTGGCTTGCAGATCACTCGGGACAGAGCACGCCGCACCATTACCTTGACTCAGTCACACATGGTGCAGCAGGTCCTTCAGCGCTTTGGCTTCACGTACTCCTCGCCTCAGGCCACTCCTCTGCCTACTCGCCACTCACTCTCAGCTCTGCCTTCGGATGAGTCCGTAGAGTCGAGTGGTCCGTATGCAGAGCTTGTTGGCTGCCTCATGTACCTGATGACCTGCACACGACCTGACCTTGCATACCCTCTGAGCATTCTTGCACGCTATGTTGCTCCTAGGAGACACAGACCAGAGCACATGGCTGCAGCGAAGAGGGTATTGCGCTACCTGTGCAGTACGTCGGGCATGGGGCTAGTGCTTGGAGGGCGGAGTCCAGTGGTCCTTACCGGCCACGCGGACGCTTCTTGGGCTGACGACCAGGCTACGCAGCGGTCGTCACAGGGTTACACCTTCAGCCTTGGTTCCGGCTCTGTCTCGTGGCGGTCTACTCGCTCGTCTTCGGTTCTCGGCTCCAGTTGTGAGGCTGAGATCTACGCCGGGGCCATGGCTGCACAGGAGCTTCGCTGGCTCACCTACCTGCTGACTGACCTTGGAGAGCCACCTCGTTCTCCTCCAGTGCTGTACGTAGACAACAAGGCCATGCTGGCCTTGTGTCGAGAGCAGCGCTTGGAGCACAGAACGAAACACATTGCTCTCCGCTACTTCCTTGCTCGTGAGCTGCAGCAGCGTTGTCAGTTGCGCCTTGCGTACGTGGCCTCTGAGGCCAACACTGCTGATGTGTTCACCAAGGCACTCGCGCCTTGTGACCATCAGCGCTTTTGCACCCAGCTGGGTCTTGTGCCTGTCTTGCCTCACTTGCTCTCCTCTTGACTTCACTTGTACTGTGACATATATATATACCTGCTCTTGCTTGTCTAGTTTTATATATATGTCTGTACTCCTGCATGTGAACTGGCCTCTGGCCCTGCTCTTGTGCTCGGACTGTGTGGTGACTTTGTGATCCACCTTGAGCTTGTTTTGCTTTGCTTGACTGGTCTTGTGACCCCTTGTTCTCCCCCACTTTGCCTATGGGGGTGTGTCAAACATTATATATGTTCTGCTTGTGTAGGCTACAGTGGGTTAGCCTATAGGGGGTACACAATTCTAGGGTTTCCTTCTTGTACTCATTTCACTGCTAGTTCATTCATTCCTGTTCGCTGATTCTCACACAGCCATGCCACGCCAGTGCCACCAGCAGCTACTCAACCAAGTGGAGATGAAGTTCAGCCATCAAATGAAGACAATCCACCGCAGCAAGTCACCGTTCCATCACCACCAAAGGAGCAGCAGCCAACAGTCACAAACCAGCCAGCTATATCAACACCAACCTCACAATTTCAACGCCAACCGGATCAGCCCACCACTACGCCATCAAACCCATCACCAGCCATCACTCCAGAGGCAACTACAGAAGCTCATCATCATCCCATGCAGAAGCAATCAACAGCTACAAGACCCCAAGTACCTACATCAACACCATCTACGACTCTTCCTAGCAACAAGTCAACCGTCACCGCAACACCTCGTTCTCATACCACACGTTCATCACTTGTTCCAACGTCAAGCCCAGCTCATAGCACGAGGATCACTTCAGCGAGTCACCACCAACACCAGCTCCAACAGTCCACTTCTTCACCCAAGACCTTTCTCAACTTCACCCCCACGTCCCGGATTCGGTCGTCATCAGTTACCACCATCTTCAACACCGAGCAACAACACCAACCAGCCCCAACCATCACCACCTCTCGACAAGGCAGCGTCATCATGAATTCCCAAGCTTCTAGTCTCAAGATCCCTACCAAGAGCATCTTCACAACCAACTATGCCGACAAACGTTTCAGCTTCACCGCCACGAGTCACCATACCTAATACTCAAGTCAACACCGATAATCAAGATATTTTCACGCCAGGAGAAGAACAAGCAGCCGTGCCGCCGTCGCAGCTGATGTCGCAGCCATTGTCTCAGCCGCAAATGACCGCATCAACGCAATCAAACACTGTGAGACCAAACCCTACCACTAATGTGTCTCAGCCAAGTGAGGAGTTTGGTAAAGGTAAACGAGTCCGCAAGGTAAAAAAGCCCTTCACTTTCATGGTTGACATGTCATCAAGGTGCACATGTGAGGAGAGTGAGAATTGCATTCACAAGAAGGTAGAGGCAATATGCATGGCAGCATCACACCTTCCGCGAGAGCCCTTGAGTCGTCGTGAAGCAATGGCAAGTCCCGAGAGAGAGCATAGGTTGAAAGCCGAGGAAGAAGAGATTGAGAGTCTCATGAAGCGAGGTACATGGCGTCTTGTTGAGCCACCTCCAGGGAAGAAGGTAATTGGTGTCAAATGGGTGTACAAGATCAAGGTAAAAGGTGATGGTAGCCTCGATAGGTACAAGGCAAGGTTAGTGGCATAAGGTTATTCCCAAATTCCAGGTCTTGACTTCACCGAAACCTTTGCCGCGGTAGCAAAGTACACCACGGTACGAGTCCTCCTCGCCATAGCCGCATATCTTGGTCTCCATATCCATCAAATGGATGTCAAGAACGCATTTCTCTACGGTGTCTTGGAAGAAGAGGTATACATGGCACAACCCGAAGGTTATGATGACGGTACGGGTCGAGTGTGTCGCTTGGTAAAGTCCCTTTATGGTCTCAAACAGTTCCCACGGGTTTGGTATCATTCTCTTGAGCAGGTACTTTTCAAGCATGGTTTCACAAGGTCCATGAGAGACAACGCTCTGTTCTTCATGCACACGAGTGAGGGGGAGTACATTTGGCTCTTGGTATATGTCGATGACCTCTTCCTAGTCTCAGGTTCTCTTGATCTTCTCAACAAGGTGAAAGGAATTCTCACAAGTGCATTCACGATGACCGATCTTGGTGAGCCAAGTCATTATCTTGGTATGAACATTGTGAGAGATCGTAAGTCATGGTCCATCTTCCTATTCCAGCAAAGGTACATCCAAAAGGTCTTTGAGAGGTTTGGTCTTGATGATAGTAAGCCATCACCTACCCCACTTCCTTCCAACTTTGTCCTTTTGTCTTCACATCAGCCTTATGAAGAGAGAGAGTCAAGCCTTGATATCATAGGTATTAAGGAGTTGTGTCTTGAGGAGAGTGAGCATCATGGTGAGAATTCGCTTAAGATATCCCCACAAGACCTAGCTCTCTACCAAAGTCAGGTTGGGTGTCTCATGTATGCAGCCCTATGCACAAGGCCCGACTTAGCATTCACGGTATCTAAGCTAGCTCAACACATGAGTGCCCCTTCACCTATTCATATGCATGCAGCCAAGCGAGCTCTTCGGTATCTCAAAGGTACTTCTAATCATGGTCTTCTCTTCCAAGCCAGCCCATATGCAAGCTCCCTCCAAGGCTTTACCGATGCAGATTGGGCGGGAGAATTGAGCACACGCAAGTCTACCGGCGGCTACATCTTCCTCATGTGTGGTGCCGCTGTTTCTTGGCAATCGCGCAAGCAAAGTTATGTGGCACTTTCAACAACCGAAGCTGAATACATGGCAATGACCGAAGGAGCAAGGGAGGCAATCTGGTTACGTGGACTCTTGGAGGACTTGAGGCAGCCGCAAACTCAACCAACTCCGCTCTACGTGGACAACACTTCAGCCATAGCTCTTTCCAAGAACCTGGTTCATCATGGGCGTACAAAACACATCGAGGTGCAATACCACTTCATTCGTGAGCAACTAGAGAAGGGAGTTCTCGCCGTCAACTTTTGCCGTTCATTCGATCAAGCAGCAGATTTCATGACCAAGGTTCTTCCACATGATGCATTCAACATGTGCAAGGCAAGAGCAGGCCTCATGACACTTCATGAAGCAGTGGAGCAGTTTGAGGAGAATGAGGAGTGTGAGGGGAAGAGACGTGGGCAGCAGCATGAAGTGTATGCTAAGGAGATGTGAAAGGAGCATCAGCATGGGTGTATGTGTGCTTCGGATCTGGTGCGAGGGGGAGTGTTGGAGAATCGAGTTTCTGCCGCCCCAGCCCTTTGCACACAAGCAGCAGCAAGGGGGAATGTTGGCGATGAATCAGAGGCTTCGGGAAGTACTTCGAAAGTTCCACCACCAATCAGATTTCAGTCGAAGACTCGATACAGTTCAAAGCTGCCTTCAAACCGAAGTGTTGGCAGTTTCTACAGGTTTCTACACATCAGAATCAGCTATAACAGAAATATCCAGAGTTTTCTTATTCATGCACCTCATGTGGCACTCAAAGTCACTCAAGGTCCATCCAATCTAGATTGTGCTCAAGTTGCCAGGGAAGTTACATTGTCTATCAGCCTAGTTTGAGCTTTCAATCTGTCTTGTTTGTGATGCCTATAGAGCTGTGCTTTAGTGTGCTTGTTAATCTTGAACATAGTGAAGTTTTACCTCATCCAGTCAATTCCAGCAGTCCTGCTAAGACTTTCCAGCCAAGTTTCCAGCCCTCCAGTAGTCACAGCTACTCTGTTTTACAAGTATGACATGATGGGTCTGAATTCACAAGAACAATATATGACAAACTTCATTCTCACTGCCAGAACGCGGTTCGCGAATGAGCGGTTTGAGAAATGTCGCGGGTCCGTTTATCTAGTCCAGTCGATACAATGGTCATGTCAAGCGTCGAAACCGTTTCGCGGATGTTAGCAGAAGGAATATTGACGCCTCCACTTTCCCTCGCGGGGTCGGTCGTATGTCCATTCCATGAATGCGACGATCATGTCAAGCATGATGAACAACAGCGGTGCGACAACAACACGCAGCCATCCACATCCTCTCGTCTTTCCATCGACGACAGCCCGCACGCATCGCATGCCAATGCGGTGTGGTCGATACTTTTTGACAGTGGCACCGCTGCCATTATGATGTCATAGCATGACGGCGTCATGTCACTCACCCGACCACGGCGCGCATGGGCGTGCGAGGCGCGCAACAGGTTGGCGCGAATGAATGAGTGGCGCACCGCGTGTCTATCCTTGCTTCCCCTCGCTCTCCTTCTGAAACAAAGCCGGCACCAAGATTATTTGCTCCCGCCGAATTCCTCCCACCAGCTACTTCCTCTCCGTTTCGTCGTGGCGTTGGTCTTCCTCAGAGCCTTTCTCTCTCTTGGCTACGGATAAAGAACGTCAATCAATTTGCTGAGAAGCACCTAGCTGTTACTGCTGGCATCTGCCTCTCTCTCCGTGCACCCCTTTCACCAAGAGATCGTTTCTCTTTCTGCTGAGAAGCGCTTGGCCTTACACTGCTGCCATCTGCTTCTCGTCCTGTGCACTTCTTCGCCGCGGGCCACAGAAATTTGCCACTCTGTCTGCTGAGAAGCACCTGGCTGGCTCCTGACTGGCACCTCGTTGGTACCATCTGGCTCACCTCCACACACCAGGTACGCACTGTCATCCTCTTCTCGATGCTGCCCCACCACCGCTGCCTCTCGGTGGTGCCACACTCACAACAATTCGTTGCTCCCATCTGGCTCACCTGCCACCTCCACACACCAGGTACGCACTGTCATCCTGTTGTGTCAGTGCAGCCCCACCGCTCCCTCTCTTCCCGTGTCTTGCATCTCTTGAAGTCGGTGGTGCCTTAGGGCCCATGTGTGCTGCCTCGCTTCCCATGCCTCCTGCATCTCATCCCCGTACCTTCTCCCACATGCCTTCTCAGCTGCCGCTTTCCTGCTGCTGCTAAAGCGCGCTTCTCGTCAGCCGCTCCGGCAGCCGTTCGTCGCTCTGCCATCAACCTGTGAGATGGGCATCTCCTAGCGTTTGTTACCTTTCGATTACCTGGATACTCCCTCGCCGTCCTTCTCTTGCCGTTGCTTCGCTTCCGCACAGACCTCTATCCACCTCTCACCAGACCCAGTGTCGACTACTATCAATCAGCTTTCTCCACCACCTCTCTTCTCAACATGCTCCTCATCTTTAACTGTACTCAGCCTGCCCCTTTCTGCCACTATATATGCTTTCCAACTTGGGTGCCTCAATCCACACCATCGCCACTTCCTTTTCACCTCACCTTCACTCTGAGGCCGCTTCTTCTCCGCCGCCGCCCGGCTCACTCCTCCTGAACACCTTCTTCTTCCCCTCCATCGGTTTGGACTTATTCCTGTGCCACTCTTCTCCCAGCCCTCCACACCCTCCGCATTCGCCTGACCCCCCCATCCTATATGCTCCATTTCCATTCGTCCCCTCCTGTGCACTCAGGTGAACGATTGTCATTCCTTGTCGCTTCTCCCCTCCCCCTATCCCACCGCCCCTCTTCCCCCAGTTGCTATTTTGTTCCCCCTTTCCCTGCTGCCGTTTATCCCCTTCCCCATGTGGCCCGCCTTTTCCTGCTGCTGCCACTCCTCCCTCCCCTGCTCCTCCACACCTCACTGCACAGGCGCACGCCTTGCATTAGGCTCGCCCAATCAGCCATGGCTCGGATGACTGCAGTGGCCACGCTGCTACCAGGGCTGCTTGTCGCCGCTGTTCTCGGCACTGCCATCGCTGTCATCACCAGGATGACAGTTAAAGAGGTCGTGAGTGAATTACTGCCCTTGTTCTTGTGAGTGTACGTGTTTCCCTTTCTTGTGAAGCACGCTGATCGATGGCATGCTCACCAGTCCAGACCCACTCCAACATGGCTGTACATGTTTTCCACGTTGTGTGTCTCTAACGTTTAGTTTCTCCTTGCCTTGGTCTGAACATGCACACGTGAGACCGACAGCCAGCAAGCCAGCCAACCCCTTCCTCATGTTGTTGCCTGCTCTTGCCGTATTCTTGTGCAGGATTGACACACAGTGTAACCGCATTGTATGCTTGCTATCTGTGGGTGCAGGATGTATGTAGACACGTACATGTATATGTTTGTGTTCCACTTTGCATGCATGCACGTGTATTCTCCCCTTCAGGCCAATGGCGTCGCTGCCTACCGTCAGCACACCCTTGCCCTCAACGTGCCTCTTCACTCTCTCCACACCCTGGTGCGTGGTGCGGTGAATGAGGCTTCTCCAGTTGCCATCCTGCTACAGGAACTAATCATTTCGCCAGGATTTTTTTCACGAAGTTTTAAGAAAATTGTCTGTCCCTCAGGTTCTAGCTCACACGTCACTTCGTGCTTCAAATGTGTTTCTTGTCCCACATCCGCAGTCACGGGATGCAAATCATCTACACCTGCTGTATTCTGCCATCACCACTCTCACCACCACGCTCATGGCACTGCTGTGGGGGATGGGCGTGACCCACACGCAAGTCAGAGCATGGGTGCATCAGCAGGGCTTGGCTGTGACGGCTGGGCTGAAGAGTGCAAGCAAGTTTGTCCTGGTATGCCATGCGCTCTGCCCTCCCACTGCAGCTTCGTAGTGGTATCCCAAACTTTTGTTTCCTTTCATTTTGGGGCTCTCTCCCCCACTCCTTCATGTCCTCACTCCTGTTCATCACACTCCCTGCCTTCCCTTCCTCGCCCTCACCATGTTGCAGCCACATGAAATCTTCCCTCGGCTGCACAGCCCCATGTGAGAATTTCCCCCCTCCATATCGTTCAACCTCAACCTGGAGTTCTATCTGTTGTATCTGCAACCTCAAAGGGAGGAGTCTTTTGGTCTGTTTTTTTTTCATGTCTTCCCCTTGTTTCTCATAGGCTATCATGCCTCCTCCCTTGAAAGGCATTTCTGCTTGTGTATTGATGCTTTCATGCTGGGTGCCCTTTTGGCATCAAAAGCATTGATGCATCACAATCAGCAGCTACCTTGCAGTTCCCTTTTCTTTCTTTACTTCCTCGTTTTCTCGCAAGGCTGCACCTGTAATTTCTCTCACCTAATCTCCCAATGTTTCCTTTTCAATGTCTCCTGCCATGTGCACCCGCGTGCTGCCATCACTCCATTCGTGCTGCCATCACTCCATTCGTGCTGCCATCACTCCATTCGTGCTGCCATCACTCCATTCGTGCTGCCATCACTCCATTTGTGCTGCCATCACTCCATTCGTGCTGCCATCATTCCATTCGTGCTGCCATCATTCCATTCGTGCTGCCATCATTCCATGTGCATTCGTGCTGCGATCTGTAGGACACGTGTCACTTCCACGATGCTGGGATGGATGAGGAGAGTGGGTGAGGCTGTTGCGACTGTCATGGCGAGTATGGTCGGAGCACACGAGTGGAAGGAGGCGATGGAGATGAGGGTCAGTGCACTTGGCATGCAGCTGGAGGAGACAAGGAGGGAGTTGGCAGCAGCCAGGAGGGAGGTCATTGCAGTGAAAGGGGAGTTTGCTGCAGTGAAAGATGAGACGGAAGCGGGAATGAGGGGCCTTGGCGTGCAGCTAGAAGAGACAGGGAAGGAGTTGGCAGCAGCCAGGGGGGAGGTCGCTGCAGTGAAAGAGGAGTTTGTCGCAGTGAAAGATGAGACGGAAGCGGGAATTAGGGGCCTTGGCGTGCAGCTAGAAGAGACAAGGAGGGAGGTGGCGGAGGTTGAGAGGAGAAGGACAGTGGAGATGAGGGAGATGAGAGGGCAGGTAGAGGAGAGGGAGAGGGAGCTGACCGCAGAATTGGCTGCAGTTAAGGTCGAGTTGGCTACAATCCAAGGGGCAGTGGCCGAACACAAGCAGTCAAGTGCATTGCAGCTGGAGGAGGCCGAGAGGAGGCGAGTGTCGGAGATGCGGGGGCAGGTGGAGGAGAGGGAGAGAGAGCTGGCTGCAGTGAAGGCAGAGCTGGCTGCACACAAGGAGGATATGAAAGAGAAATGGGATGTGGCAGAGAGAAAAAGGCAATCTGATTTGAGAGAGCTGACAGAGGAGGCCAGAAAGAAAGAGGATGAGATGAGAAAGGAGTTGGCAAGGGAGAGGGAGGAGAGGAGGACGGAGGTGCAAGATGTTGAGACGAGAGGAGCAGCAGAGCTGAGAGAGCAGGTGGAGAAGAGAGAAGGGGAGCTGGCTGCACTGAAGAGGGAGCTGGCTGAAAAGAAGAGAATTCTGGATGCTCTCATGACGCTGGATGCTTTACAGAAACTCATCCAGAGTGACGACGATCAGGAGACTGCATGGAAGGTGAGTGCTGAGTGAAATGTTGTGCATGCATTGTTGCTATGACTGCGCATCTGGATATGGCTGAGAAGTCGGGAATTGGATATGAGAGAGCTATGAGAGGAGGCCAGAAAGGAAGCGGATGAAATGGGAGCAGCGTTGGCAAGTGAGCTGAATTGGCCACATTGAGCTGGAAGTCAGCCAGAGTGATGGCCTTGACTGCGTGGGAGGTGAGTGCTGAGTGAACTGTGTGACAAGGCATGCATTGTTTGTCAGGGCATAGATTGAGAGGTCATGTTTGCTATGGTCACAGCTGCTATCGTCACAATGATTATCTCTCTTGTCTTCCAATCTCTCCTCATCGATCTCCTCCAGAGAATTAAGTCAGCATCAAAAGCAACCAGTCTGAGTCTAGCAAATATTGAAGGCCTCTCAGACGACATGCTCCGCCATGTGTCCACAATGACCCAACTGAAGTTCGTTTCCTTGGAGTGCAGCTCAGGCTTCAGTGCAGAGGGCATCAAGCACCTCTACAGGCTGCCACGGCTGGAGTTGCTCAACCTAGATGGCACAGACATGTCAGACAGTGCCTTGGAAGGCATTGGGTCCTTGACCAGTCTCAAGAAGCTGTATCTCTGTATGAAGGTGACCGATGCTGGTCTGGCGCACTTGATAGGTCTTTCCTCCCTCAAAGTGCTCTGGCTTTCTAGATGCAAGGGTGTGACAGATGCTGGCATGGTGCATGTGGGGAGGCTGACAGGGCTTGAGAGACTTGATATGAAATATTCGGCAGTCACGGATGCTGGGCTGCAGAAGCTGACTGCCCTGACCAGGCTGACATCACTCTATACGCCAGATGGGGTTCAGCTTGAGAACGATGCTGTACGCAGGCGGATTGGCAGGTAGGGTGGTAGGGGGCAATGATGGAAAGGGAGGTGGGGTGAGGGAAGAGTTGACTGAGGCCGTCCAGGGGAGATGAGTAGAGGCGTGGAGGTAAGGGGTGTGAAGAATGGGGGAAAGCATGCATCCGGAAGAAGAGTGAGGCATGGAATGGTGGTGGTGCACCCCTCAACGTGCATGTTGCAGAGAGCTGCAGAATGGTTGTGTGGAGATCGTGCCTTGCAGTTGGATACCAAGTGCAGGGCTGCTTAGGCAAGAGACTACTGTATGCATGAGGGGAGGCTTCATGGACGAGTCATGCCTGCCTGGCTTTGGGTGTAGCAGGCTGTAGAGCTGCTCTTCACACAGAGGAGAGGCTGGGGCATAGTAATGTAGTTGAGGCTTTAGTAATACCGATATCAACACTTGAGATCTGATTTGAATGGTGGATCATTTATGCTGTACATTGGGCAAGGCAGAAGTGGACCCTGTATATTGATGGGGTAAAGGCAGATGTGATGCATGCTGCTGCGCACTTGAAAGATCCCCCCTCCTCACAATCAGACCCTTGCTCTTAACACTTGTTTCGTCCACCACCTGAGATGGTCCACCTTCCCTGGCAGGCTGCTGTGAATAGCAGCACGCTGCAGACACAGGGAGAGCAGCGCTAAATCCAGGGAGAGCTGGATGGGCTGAATGAACCTCTCGAGATGGATGTATTATTTCAAGTGGCATGCACAACTTGTCTTTGCTATGTGCATGGGATGGACACAGAGAAGAGGCATGGTTTGATGGTATAAAGGGCAAGGCATGATGGGATCATGTGATCAAACGGTTGAGGTATGGGATGAGGTGTTGGATGAAGTTATGGGACAAGGCACGAGGAGAAAGACGCAGAGAGGGAGAGTGGGGCAATGTGGGGAAAACTGGGTGACAGCAGGCGGTACTGGTGCAGGTGATGTGGGAGGGAGGGAGAGGTGGTGTCTGAGGGCTACGGTGCTGCTGATTGGCTGGGACGGTGGGGAGCAGATGGGAGGGTGATGGCGGGCAGAGGAGGAGGACCGGAGATGGGTAGGGGCAGTCGGTTTAAGAACAGGGCAGATGAAAAGAAAAGAAATACATGGGAATGATATGGACATGTTCAATTGAACCGCTGATAGCTATAAGAAAGGGTCGACGGTGACAACGACGTGCAGCAGTAGGTGCCATGCCCTCTTGCATGGCTAGAGCGGTGATCGGCGTGCTGTGTGTTGGGTGCAAGTTGCTGAGTTTTTCTCCGAGCTGTACTGCCGTGACGGCTGGGGGCCCAAGCGTGAACGCGGCAGGTGAGTGTCAACGGGAGTGTTGTTTGGCCGCGTCCTCGCTTGGGCGGAGCCGACTTCGTGGTCGGGTGTGCGGGGGTTGCAGCCGACCTGCAGCAGTGGGCACGGGGGCCACTGCAAAGGCGCCGAGCTGAAGGGCGCCTGGCTGGAGGGCGCCGAGCAGGAGGACGCCATGGTTGGCGTCCTGGACGCTTGGACGGCGTCCTGGGAAGCTGGATGCCGACCTGGGCGTCGGCACGACTACCCGAGCGCCTTATCGGCGTCGTGGGCGCCTACACGGCGTCCTAGAAGGCCAGACGCCGACCTAGGCGTCTGCACGGGGTCCTAGGAGCCTGGGACGCCGCCCTGGGCGTCTACACGGCGTCCTAAAGGCCCAGACGCCGACCTGGGCGTCCTAGGGGCCCGGACGCCGAGCTGGGCGTCTGATCGGCGTCCTGGGAGGCTGGACACCGCTCTGGAGGTTTGCACGGCGTCCTGGGCGTCTGGGCGCCGACCTGGGGGTTTGGACGGCGTCCTGGGCGGACGCTGGACTGGGGACGCCGGGCATTGGTGGCCGGCTACGGACTGTGCTGGTTGAACGAGCGTAGTTGCCCGGTCGACCGGGATACCCGGGCGACGTGCGCGAATGTTGCCGGGGTAGAGTCTGCGAGGCCGACCTCGGGGGTGGTATCCCGAGGTCGACTTGGCTGGTGGGCGCAGTCGCTGGCGTGGAGTCTGCCAGGCGTCTGCGCTGTGAACGTGACGAGGAATGGCGCACCAACCAGCTGCACGCATCTGCGAAGCAGCTGCACCGTTGTCCTGCGGGTGCAATGCTGTGCAGCCGACTTGCTGCAGCGTTGGCGCACCGTAGACTTGCAACGTTGGCGAACCGCTACTCTGCAATGCTGGAGCGGTGCGAGCGCTGCTGCGCTGGAGCGCGGTCGACCATGCTGCGCTGGAGATCGACCAACAGCCTAGCTAGCTCGGATGTAGTCTGTGATGCCAATGTTGTTGCGACCATTGTTGTCAATCTTTGATAGTGAAACTCTTGCAAAATCTCCCCGTGAATGTGCAAGCAGAAAACACACAAGCAAACGACTAAGGAACGAGCATCCGTGCCTAGCCCGTAGTCCAGCTCCCGTTGCAGCAGTTTTCTCCGCAGGGGGGAGATGAAGGAAGGTCGGAGCACACTACTGAGGGAGGGGGAGAATGCTGGGCACCTCGGTACTGGGATATGAGAGAGTGCTGCTGGTGGGAGAGAGGAAAGGGAGTGGGGAAGAGAGGGAAGAAGGTCGGAGAGTACTGCTATGCAAGGAGAGGGGAGTGGAAGTTATCTGACGATGGCATTGGACTCGAGAAGGTACTGACCACATTCTGCATTTGTCAGCAAAGTAGCGCTGGAAACTGGCGCTAGCCACCAGCAATGCGGAAATGAGAGCCAGCAACATAATGAGATGCACAAGAAAGTAGTGATCATGTTCACTCTGCCGCATGAGCAAACTAGCGCCAGAACACTGCTGGACGCGAGGAGGCGAAGGCACAAACTAAGACAAGCGAGATCAGTAGAAATGGATGGAAAGAAGAGGGATAGGATGACAAAATGACTTAGATTTCTCCGACTGCTCTGCTTCTCTCACTTCCGCATTGGCACGTCGCCCTGCCTGCCGTCACCTGAAGAAGAACCATCCACAATCGCATATCCACGAGGACTTCTGCTGCCTGAAACAGCTCTCCGTCCCATAGGTCAGCTACCTCTTCAGCTCCCTCAGGTACCTTAGCTGGCTCAGATGCCCCTGGCGCCCCAGGTGCTTCAGGTGCTTCAGTTGGCCCTTGGCGCCTCCCTCGATCTTCGACCCCCTCAACCCTCTTCTGCACACTCCTCCCTCGATCTTCGATCTGCAATGCACCGTGCGCTACTGGGTGTGTGGGTGTGTGGGTGGGTGGGTGGGTGTGTGGGTGGGTGTCTGGGTGGGTGTGTGGGTGGGTGTCTGGGTGGGTGTGTGGGTGGGTGTGTGGGTGGGTGTGTGGGTGGGTGTGAGGGTGGGTGTATAGGTGGGTGTGTGGGTGGGTGCGCTCGCAACCCCTTTCTGCAGCGAGGAGCCCAGTGGTAAAGTCCAAGTCACTGCGCAAGTCCAGATCACCCCACATGTCCCTCGCACCTTGACAATCCCTACCACCAACCCCCTTCTGCTCCCCCCTCTGCTCCTCCTTTCCTTCCTCCTTCCCCTCCTATTCCCCTCCTCCTTCCCTTCCTCCTTCCCCTCCTCCTCCTGCTCCTCCTCCTCCTCCTCCTCCTCCTCCTCCTCCTCCTCCTCCTCCTCCTCCTCCTCCTCCTTCTCTTGCTCCTGATCCTTCCCCTCCTCCTCTTCCTCTTGCTCCTTCCCTTCCTCCTCTTCCTCCTCGTCCTCCTCCTCTTGCTCTTTCCCCACCTCCCTTCCTCCTGCTCCTCCTCCTTCCCCTCCTCCTTTCCCTCCTCCTGCTCTTGTTCCTCCTCCTCCCCCTCCTCCTCCTTCCCCTCCTTCTCTTCCTCCTGCTCCTCCTCCTCCCCCTCCTTCTTTTCCATTCTCCTGCTCCTCATCCTCCTGCTCCTCCTCCTCCTTATGCTCCTCCTCCTCTTTCCCCTCCTCCGTCCCCTCCTCCTCCTCCTTATGCTCCTCCTCCTCCTTCCCCTCCTCCTTCCCCTCCTCCTCCTTCCCCTCCTTCTTTTCCATTCTCCTGCTCCTCATCCTCATGCTCCTCCTCCTCCTTCCCCTCCTCCGTCCCCTCCTCCTCCTTATGCTCCTCCTCCTCCTTCCCCTCCTCCTCCCCCTCCTCCTTCCCCTCCTCCTTCCCCTCCTCCTCCTTCCCCTCCTCCTCCGCCTGCTCCTCAGGAGAGTCGCTGATGCAAACTGCAGCTGCATCAGCCCACTTGCCGGCCTCACTGCTCCCACGCACCCCACCAACCCCTTGCCCGCCCTCACTTTCCCCTTCAACCTCTTCCCCTCCCTCTCCCCCATTGCCCCCGACGCCCGTATCAGCTGCACCCCCCTGTGCCAGCAGTGGGTCACTGCCGCAAATTGCACGTGCTACACCCTCGTTTCTCTCATTTCTCTCGTTTCCCTCGTTATCTCTCCTCTTCCCCTTGCTTCTTTTCCTCTGGTTCCTCTTCCTCCCTTCCTGCTTGATGTGCCACCTGATCAATCTTCAACCGTTTTCCTTCTCTCCTCCCACCTCTTGTCCCTTCTCTCGTCCCGTCTCTCATGCCACAAGCCTTGCCACCCCGACCATGCTTGCTAGCTCCAGCAACACCACCGTTGCTGGCAGCAGCGTGTTTGCCCCCCCCCCCCCCCCCCACCATGCCGCTTGTAAGTAATGTCACATTTGTATGAATGTGAATGGGTTAGCAGGGAGAGACGGGGGAGTGTACAAATTGTATATACTGTATATAGCGAGCAGCGCAGCGCCGAGGATGGGAAGTGGAGGGTCGAAGGGGCGTTTGAAGGAAGTAGCGGGACTGTGTGCGGGAAGGAAGGGTGATGCCTGCCGAAGCGAAGGGTCGGGGAGTGCATGGCAGCAGTGTGGGGCGGCACTTACGTAAGAGAGAAGAGAGAGCCAGCGGGAATTGCAGCGCAAGGCAGCGGCAGCAGGGAGAGGAGGAGGTTGCCACCGGCACTTGGATTGGATGGGTGTGCGCATGCATGTGTGTTTGTTTCCCTGTGTGTGCAGGTGAGCTCCCGGGAGCCAGCTGGATCTGAGAAGTGCCAGTTGGAGGCAAAGTAGCCAGAGGCGGGGAACAGAGTTGGTAGGCAGCATAGGTGGTCGTCTCCTCCAAGCTAGCACTAGCGGGCGCCGAGGAGACAAGGGAAGGGCGAGGAGAAGGCTGAGGCAGAGCTGGTAGATTAGGAGGAACCTGGTAGAGCAAACCTTAATGCTTGTATGTTTCCTTTGTAACACGATATTCTTGCACCCGACGAAGCAAGTAGTGAGAGAAAGGAGATATTGCAAGCTGAGATGTAAGTAGTAGTTAGAGCAGGGCGTTATGTGAGGGAGCCAGAGTGAGTATATCACAAGGAGCAGCAGCAGGAGAGGAGGAGATGGGGAGGGAGAGGGCAGCGTGCAGGGACAAGGGGACCAAGAAGGAGGAGAAACCCAGAGGGATGAAGGCGGGCAGAGGCAGAGAGAGCAGTATGGGTGAAGGGAGGTGGTGAGGTTCCGACATTAATAACACCGGTGCCACCACACGCCTTCCTAGCAGCAGCACCATTACCATCATTGTCATCGTCACTAGCAGCAGCAGCAGTAGCAGCTGAAGCAGCGGCAACAGGAGGAGGCGGATGAGGAGGAAGAGCAGGAAGAGCAGCAGCAGCGTCATCATCATCGTTGGGTGAATCACTCATCAAGACATGCCCTTCATGTGCCAGCTCATGCTCTCCACATGCCACCTCATGCCCTGCATCAACTCGAGCCCCAGTCGACTCCTTACATCTGCCGCTTTCTCCCTGCGCCTCGCCTGTCCCTTGCTGTCCTCCCTCCTCCCCCATCTCCTCCTCTCCACCGCATCCCCTTGGCACAAGCTCCCGCTCGCCATCCCTCAACCCCACCTCCTTTACTTCCTCCCCTCCTCCACATACATCTTGTACGTTCCCCCCCAGTTCCTTCAATTCTATTTCCTTTACAATTCCCACCTCCTCCACCTCTTTGTTACTCACTTCCTTCACACACCTCTTCTGACCAGCCCACTTCCCCTCCTCCCTCTTGTCCTTTTCCATTCGAGCCCCCTCCACCATCCTCCCTCCATCCTCCCTTTTTCCCTTGTCTCTCCTCCCAGCGTCCCCCTCACTCCTCAAACACCCCATTTTTACTGCAGCCTCTTTTCTCCTCCACACATCCTTGTCAGTTTCCTGCCTCGCCTTCCTCTCTTGCCTCTCCTCCAGCCGCTCGTCTTTCTTCTCTTCTCCCTCGACCTCCATCCCCTCCCCTCCCTCCCCTCCTCGCGCGTCCTCCATCCCCCGCTCCAAACCCTCCCCTCCCTGCCCTCCTCTCGCCTCCTCCATATCAACCTCATCCAACAACAAGAGTGCAGCGCTTGATTCCATCATGCACATGCCCTGCACTCTCCTCTATGTGAAGAGCATCTGTACAGCCTCCTTCAGCCACAGCCAGGCAAGGCAAGTATGGCTCATGCAGCCTCCTCCCCACATCCACGGAGTGGTCTCTTGCCCAACCAGCCTTGCACCTGCTGCTGTTCAACTGTAAGGGCACAGGTTCTGACCATTCTCCACATCTCTGCACCATGCAGCCGTGCACAATCACCATTCCATGCCTCACTCCTCCGCATGCATCCTCCCCTCAATCTTCACACCCCTTACCTCCACGCCTCACTTCAGTCTTCCCTACCAAGACATACTCACGTCCTCCCTCACTGCACGTCCCTCTCCATCATCACCCTGCCTGCCTATCTGCCCGTGCTAATTACCGTACTCAGATGCTAATTACCGTACTCAGATGCTAATTACCGTACTCAGATGCTAATTACCGTACTCAGATGCTAATTACCGTACTCAGATGCTAATTACCGTACTCAGATGCTAATTACCGTACTCAGATGCTAATTACCGTACTCAGATGCTAATTACCGTACTCAGACGATCCCTTTCTGTTGTAGAGAGATTTCTCAGCTTGGTCAGGGCAGTCCGATGCTGCAGCCCATCATCCATGACTGCCGTGCCATGCAGCCAAAGATGCATAAGCCCTGTCAGCCTCCCTACATGCACCATCCCCGCATTTGTCACACCCTTGCACGCAGAAAGCCACAACAGCTTGAGAGAGGAGAGAGCTGTCAAGTGTGCCAGACCAGCATCAGTCACGTTGGTCTTGAGGAGTTCGAGCTCCTTCAAACTGGTCAAGGACCCAATGCAATGCCTTCCAAGGCACTATCTGACACGTCTGTGCATGTGAGGTCGAGCGTTTCCAGCCTTGGCAGCCTGTAGAGGTGTTTGATGCCCTCTGCACTGAAGCCCGAGCTAGATTCCAATACAATGCCCTTGAGACGCGTCATGGTGGACACATGGCCGAGCATGACATCTGAGACGCCTTGGCGACTCCTCAGACTCAGTTCCGCTCGTCGTGATGCTGACTGGATCGCCTGGAGGTGATGGATGAAGAGGGCATGGATGACAAGCAAAGGAATGACCATCCGAGAGGCTGTGCAGAGAAAAAAGGATGAAGAGAAAAAGCATGGAAAGGGAATGGGTGGCCAAATAGCAAGCAATGCATGCACTCAACACACACCTTCCATGCCATCTTCTGATCGCCTTTACTCTGCTTGATTTGCAGCGCAACATTCAGTTTCAGGTTTCGTTTCTTCAGCCCTTCCTTAGAGGCCGCCAGGTCCTCCGTGGCATGCAGCTGATTCAACTCCTGCATCTCCCTCCTCCTCTCCTCCTCCCGTGCAAAATCCGCTGTGGCTTCTTGCTTTCTTTTTCTACTCTCCACTATCAGCCCTGTTCCATCCAATGCCCTACTACTCTCAGCCACTTTCTCTTCCATAGCGTGCTCGTGTTTCGCCAACTCCCCCTTCACCACTGCCAATACCCTCTTAATCGCTGTAAACTCCCCCTTCACTGTTGTGAAAGTGTGCCGCAGCTCATCCACTTCCTCCTTGTGTGCAGCCAGCTCCTCTCTCACTGCTACCAGCACCGCCTCTTTGATCAACTCGTTCACTGCACTCGTCACTCCCTCGGCAGCCATATCATCCACTCACTCTCCTCAAACAACGCACTTATGACGGCTGATCCCCCTGCGTTCAGCTGTCGTTTTCACTGCAGAATGGCGAAAGACGACACGTGCAAACTAGGTAGGGCAGGGTTGGGCGAACGGGCTGTTCGAGGAACATAAAAAGAAAAGTGGGAGAAGGGTCACGTCACGAGGGAGGAGAAAAAGAACATGATAGGATGCTGCAGGGGGATGCGGAGCTGTAATGGCCACAAGGCAAAGAGTTTAACTCAGCCTGGCATGAAACCTGCCAGCTCTGCTCCTTACCACAGTCAGGCAGGCGAGGGAAGCCGGAGCGAGCACACGATCTGAAAGTAGAGCACAAGTGAGGACAAAACTGGTAGTGAATGCCATAGTAGTTTAGTTTCACCCAAGCAAAGGGAGCCGAAGCCGTTGGCAGCAAGGCTGGCTCGCTTTGGCCATTCGTCACCCATAAAACACACAACAGTATCATGGGTGAGAGATTTGAAGTGGTTGGGAGGGTCGTTGGTGGTAAGGAGAGAGACTGGACTTGCTCTGGGGAAACCTGGAGGGTCTGAATTAGCTACAGTTCAAACATGTGACAGCTGGAACCATCCTGCTTGCTGGTAATTAAGGCTAGGTCATTCACAGAGCTAGACACTCAGTAACAAGCTAGGTCAAACAAAGGATAGGTCAATAACAACCTTGTTTACTCACACGCTAGGCTAGGTCGGTAACAATCTTGGTCAGTCACAGGTAGGGCAGTGTAGGCTATGTCAGTCACAAACAATCTAGGTCAGCTGAATTACCGCCTGAATACTTTTTTTTTAGCCTAGGTCAAGGCTAGCCCCCTCAGAAGCTAGGACAGTCAGGGCTAAATCTAAGTCAGAGGCTATGACCGCCACACTTTGCAACAAGAATCTGGGAGAAGAGTGAGTCTCAGGCTAGGACAGTCACATCACATGCTATGTACGTCAAGCCGCACATATGCAAGGTATTGTTGGCCAGGTCACGAACAGGCTACGTCAATACGAGGCTAGGCCACTGAAGGCTAACTCACTCACAAGGTGAGTCACAGGCTTGGTCAGTCAGTCACACGGAGAACCCGAACACAGGCAAGACCTATCACGGGCTACTACGTCAGTCGAACCTAGGACAGACACATGCTAAGTGACTTATAGGCTACGTCACTCACACCCTAGGTGGTCAATCACAGGCAAGGTTATGCACAGGCTAGGCCAGTCACAGTATAGGACAGCTATAGGCTAGGCTAGCCACAGGTTAGGTGGGTCAGTCACGAGCTATGGAAGTCAAATGCTAGGCCACTTAAAGAGGTAAGTTGGAGCATTGGACAGTCAAATGCTAAGTCAGACACACAAGCTACGTCAATCAGAGGCCATGTCACTAACATGATAGACCAGTCACAAGCTTGGGCAGTTCGCAAGTTGAGTTGAGACAGCCACAAGGTAGGGTCAGAGTTAGGTCCATCAGAAATTTGGTACTATGGAATTCTGGTCAGGCATTGGCTAGGTTAGTCACAGGGTAGGTCACTCATAGCCTTCAGCTGTGGGATGCAACCCGCACTTGGAAATACACGTTACACTAAACAAAAATATCACAGGCTGGCTAAGGAAAAGCTGTTTTTTTTTCCCATAACACTCCAGATTCAGATTGATACCTTCCCCCGAATTATTGACCAGCCTCAAGCACGCCTTACTGCATCTACCTACTCAGCAAGTCCACACAATTGCTGCACTCACTTTCTCGCACAAATCTCTACACCGACTAACCTCCTTCCCCTAATCCAGGCACGCGGAAGTTATATTCGTGTCAAATTCAGTTACAAATTTCCAGTCCTCATAAGATAGGTCAGGTAGGGGCAAAGTCCCTCATACGTGAGTCAGAGCCTATGATAGTAAGACAAGATGAGCCACAGGCTGAGTCTTTCACAAAATAGGTCATTCGTACAAGTTGGGTCAAAACAAAGGCTGGGTCAGTCACAAGCTAGGTCAGACACGCATCAGAGGTTAGGTCAGTTATGGGCAACATCACCCACAGGCTGGGTCTGTCACGCGACAGAGTGACCGCCTGAACCTGGCCGAAGGGAATTAGCACGAAATGACGCCTGGTGTGACTATACTCAAAATCGATGCAAGCGAGACGACGTAACTTGACGTGTCACATCCGGCTCTGACACAACTACAAGCACCACGGTTCGTTGTGATGCGTACAATGCGGACGACCGAGTCCAGGAACAGAAAAGCGAGACTCAGGAGCCGAAAGAAGAATCGTACCTTTATCTAGGGTTTCCCGGACTATGGCGTTTCCGCGGCTATCGGAGTGACTGGGAAGCGCCGAGAAGACAGGATACGAGCGGCAACGAGTGACGCGGCCGTTGTACGGCCGCGATACTTCGTATCACCTCGTCTAATGATGGGGCAATGTCCTTTACTATGGCATCTGTCGCGTCGCGTGCTTGGCAAAAGGCGGGTTATCCGGGTATCAGAAGGGGTTCGAAATTGTGACTTGTGTCACAGATCGGCGCGACCTTGTTTCTCGATAATGACAGGTTGCAACATGTGAAGTGATAACAGGCAACTGAGCCTCGCTGTTGCGACTGTAACAAAATTCACAATTGTCTTCCCCCAGTTTTCGTTGGTGTCGCGAATATCCAGTTCAGTTCGCTCAATGTCGCAAGTGGATACTTTCCTTTCACGAACATTTGCGCTTCGAACACATAGAGCAAACCAGATTTGTAATCCTGTGTCACTTCAACCTTGAAGAAACACCTCCTTGGTGTCGATCTCTGACGGCCATCTGCATTCACGACTACATCCAAACGACATGACGACGTTCGGATAGAACATCGCAGTCAGTTCATTCGACGACCGGCTAGACAAACTGCGCGAAATGCGGAATCCACCTCTATTCGTCATCCCACGCAACGTTACATCTTTCCCACCCTTCCCCATTTCCAGCCAGTGGCACCGCAATGCTGACGTTGGCCAAAGTCACCGTGACCCGCCCAGCTTCCAGGTCCTCCCGTTACACCTCGCCTCGCAGCGTCGCGTTCGTGAGAAACTAACCTTCAGCGACGTCGCTGCCATGCGGCGCTCTGCCCAGGCGCTGGTCCCAACAGGTATTTGAGCTGATTCCACTCGCACGGTTTAGCCGTTCAAATGCTGCGTCCACAGCGTTCGTGCTCACCTTACAACTACTCGACTCCCTAACGCATAGCTCGGAAATCTATAGGACTAGGTAAGGTTAACGTATGATGATCCGAAGGCAGATTGTGTGCTGTTCTTCTTGTTCCATTCTGGCTCACGCACATCAGTGACGTCTCGCGCGCGCACCTGCCGTTACCCTTGGCGATCCGGCGGCGAGCGCAGCCGTGTTGCTGTCGCAGCAGCGCAGTTGTCCGCAATGACGACGGGGACAGGCGGAGCGGGGGGATCAAGGGTGGTGGAGAGCGGAGGAAGCTGGGACAGTCGGGAGTGGGAGATGGGAGAGGGAAGAATGCGTGGGGGACGCGTGAACATCGTTCCGCGGCAAGAAGCGGTGGAGGAGAAGCGGGCGGGCACGGCTCCAAGGGGAGTGCGCGTGGGGGAGGTGGTGCGGGGCAGCGGCGTGGAGGAGGGAGGGCTGGCAGCCGCGTCACACATGACCGTGCGTGAGGGCGAGCACGTGGAACGAGGCTGTGCTGCAGGGGTGGGAGCGAGGGCAGCAGCAGGGCGAGGAGACAGTGCGGCAGCAGAGGAGCGGGGCACAGCAGGCCCGCTCTCACACGCGCACGCACAGCCCGCACCCACGTGTGGTGACGTGCCTGTGCTGGGCGCCGTGACGCCAGGGTCAGCCCCCACCCTAGGGGCAGCACACCCCTGGTCAGACGCGCCCTTCAGTGTGGGCAGTCAGAGGAGCGGCCATGCGGATGCATGCGCATCAATGGAGGGCCACCTGTGCAAGGAGCCATCTCTGCTCGTCTTCTCAGGTACCCTCCCTCTGCTCCCGCTGCCTCGCCTGCCCCCGTCGCCTGCCCCCGTCGCCTGCCCGCCACCCCTGCCGCTCTACATACTGACGTGCACCTCTGTGTGTGGTGCCGGTGCCGGCCTTGTGCCCTCCTGCGTGCGTGGTGCGGTGTGTGCGCGGCAGGAGGCACGGCATTCAACGCGGTGGCGGAGGAGCTTCACGAGTGGACCACCGCCGTGGCGCACGTCCTGCCCGTCTCTGATGATGGCGGCAGCACTGCAGAGATCGTGCGCGTCATAGGTCAGCCACTCACTCACACCCTGCTGCTCTCTGCCTCACCGCCCCCCCGCAAGGTGGTTCTACTGTTGCCGCATCATGCTGCAACATCACGCTTCTCATGCTCCCTCCAGCGCCCACCTCTCTCACTCATCACCCTGTTTGACCCCCTCATCCCGCACCACTCTCTGTGCCCCCAGGTGGGCCTGCCATCGGTGACATTCGCTCGCGCTGCCTGCGCCTGTCCGACGGGTCTAGCCACGAGGCCAGAGCAGTGCGGCGACTGCTGGGACACCGCCTGCCACTGCACCCCTCGCAAGCCAAGGCAGAATGGTGACCTCGCGCCCGCACCACACCCATCACAACCACTTACTACATCCATCACCCGCCCACCGTTCTCTGTGGGCTGGTGCGCACGGCTAACAGTGTGGCCTGCCATGGGCATGTGGTGTGTGTGTGTGTGCGCGGTGGGTGTGCAGGCTGAGCATAGTGGAGGGCGAGCATGAGCTGTGGGGGGGCGTGTCCGATCCGTACAAGGAGATCATCCGCGCCTTCCTCGTGCACTTCCACTACCAGGTTCTCCTCGTGCACTTCCACTACCAGGTTCTCCTCGTGCACTTCCACTACCAGGTTCTCCTCCTGCACTTCCACTACCAGGTTCTCCTCGTGCACTTCCACTACCAGGTTCTCCTCGTGCACTTCCACTACCAGGTTCTCCTCCTGCACTTCCACTACCAGGTTCTCCTCCTGCACTTCCACTACCAGGTTCTCCT